TCAACTATTCCATAAGTTGAGAAAATTCTTTTACAGGCTATGTCATTGGTTCCTAACAGACATAAGTGAGACTGTTCTACTTATAAGACTGTAGTTTCAGCTCTCTTCAAACCATCCAGAATCCACAATTTGTTTTTAAACACAAATAAAATAAAATTTCACTCAAATGTTTTGCTCTGAGACCTGGTTCTCTTACATTTCTTCTAAGATGAAGCCATGAAAGATCAACATTTCTAAATACGTTAATCTCTTTTCACGTGGGACCTCTCCAGAATTTGTTAAAATGGAAATACCTCATTTTGATAAAAACTATTGAGTTCACACAACATCAATCATCATTTTGTTGGCACAGAATCAACTGCTGTTTGTATTTTTCCCATTGAGAACTATAATTTCAATAATATATGGCAAAGTTTACCCTCAGCAGAATTATGAAGGATGTCAAAATATCTCCTAACACTGTCTCAAAATTCCAATTTCACAGCCCTATAACTTCATGCCACATTTGGCATCCTAGCAAGGGTTCTTAGGTGACATAGAGCAACATGTTGGCACAAAGCAAGTGCAGTTCATGCAGCATCAGCTGCCCCCAGCACCACCCGCTATGTTTACATGTGCAGGGCCCTCTGGAGTGCGGCGCCTTGGAGCAACACTCTGCAGAGACACACGAGGGCTCTGATTTCTATGCAAACATAGTTACACCTCTCTGAAGACATTCCTGCACTGGGCACTCTCAAGTTGTGCTGTTACTTACTTTTTTCATCTCTTTTAATAGATTCCATCTATTTGTAATTGCATTCCCAAAGACATGACGGGTCTCAGTCCCTGAGAGTGCGCTGGACATGTACAGGTCACCCAACACACACACGTGATGTTTTAGTATATGGGATCCATGGAGTGCCCCAGATTCTGAAAACATGCATTAAAGTGCTTTGGCTCCTGGCTATAATCAGCCTTCAAACACAATAGGCTTTGGCTAACTGAAGAAAAGACAAAATATTTACCTCACTGAAAGAGAAATGTCAGCTAAATAAGGGCAGTGAAGGCACACAGGTATCTGCCTGCCAGAGACAGTGCGTGTAAATTGAAAGGAATGCCTAAGGTGGCATGATAAGAGGATGGCAGAGATTTTACTCATTAATGAAATATAACTGAGAATTAGGTCTGCATCTCTATAGAAGTCTGATCAGTTCCCTCAGGGCTGACCAGCAGGAAAACAATTTCATTCCAGATATGAATAGCTAAGCAGTTAAGTATTGCATTTTGCATTCTGTCTTCCTCAGTAAAGAAAGCAGTCTTTTCCACAAGGAAAAATGCCTGTTACAACATAAACTCCTAACCCATCAAATTTTAGCTTCTAGAATTGATTGCTTGACTCAAGAATGTCGAGTATACCTTTAGCTATTTTTGGAGCCCTGGAAACATACAGGAACCAGAAATAAAATAAATTCTAATTTATCTTGCTGCTCTACTCTTCAGAATATTGTCATTTACTGAAGTCTTAAGTAAAAGCTACCGTATGAAAAATTACTTTAGTGTCATGCTCTTTACCCATAAAACAATGTTCCTACCTGAAAAGGAATTCAGAGCAGAATAAAAAATAAATTTCTGTATCTATTTTGAGTGTCAACTTCTTAACACTATGAAATAAGAAGAAACATTATGAATATAATTTGAAAAGGCATTTAAAACTGACCTTATAAGGCATGTATTGTAAGTCTGATACACAGTCCTGAAAGCAGTTATGATGACCTACTTTCAGAAAAACTTCTGGCATAGATTTAGTTATAAAATATGAATGAAGAAAACCACTGAAGTAAAACTGTGCTTTACAAAACACTTGAAAAAACTTCAGAGATACAGATAGTATCTCTGTATGCTCATATGGAAATACTATCTGTATCTCAGAGATAGTATAAAAAAAGTTATATATATATATATATATATATATATATAAAACTTTTTATAGAAGTAGTGTTATCTTCTGATACTGGTATGCTTTTTCAAGCCTGATCTGTAAGGAGATACTTAGCCAGTCATATTATATGATATAATATCTTCAGAAAGTACCTAGGAAATTTATATACTTAATCCAGTTTCTACATGGCACCAGTACTCTGACACCTGAATAATTCCTGCCTCTCCATTCCAGAAAACTGTACTCACAAGACACCTGCAGGAAATTAGTGTTTTGGGTCCAGATTGTACCAATACATGATTCCTTGTGCAGGCACCCACCATCTGAGAAAAGGAACATGATGAGACAAGCCAGAGAAATTTATAAATTCATTAAACACCTTATTTGAAAGTTTTAATTCTCTGGTATCAATGTACAATGCTGGTGTCCAACATTTTCTGTAAGATGTACCAATGGATGGAAACAGAGAACTTTGTGTTGGAAAGGACCTTAAACCCCATCTAGTTACACCTCCCTGCAGGGGGACAGAGACACCCTCCACTTGGTTTGCTCAGGGCCCCATCTAACCTTGCCTTGGACATTTCCAGGGATGGGGCATCCACAAGGCAACCTCTTCTGGTGTCTCACCATTCTTTTTGTGAAGGATCTGAAGACATGCCAGGTATTTCTTCATGGTGTGGCCTCACACTCACCAACCCAACAGGCCATCACGTTGTGTCACTGTAGACACAGCACCATGCACACACCTCATCCAGGGCCTGACCTGTGGCCACAGGCCTGCTCAGCACAACCAGCAATGCTTGTGTGACCCAGCTATTGAAGATGCTTGTGCTGTCCTGCAGCAGCAGCCACACGTGGCCACCAGACAAGGCCCCTTGGAGACACTTGTCCAATAGAGCAGCAGGAGCGGGTGTGCAGTACCAGCTCTATAACACAACCCTCAGGCCTTACCTGCACCCCTGTTCCCAACCAACAGCAGGGGCTTTTCCAGGAGAAGGCAGCAGGAGCTGCTCTGGCTGCTCTGGTCAGGGCCGGGCTCAGGCTAGCCCTGAGCACAGGCCAGTCCAGGGGAGCAGCCAAGAGCCAGGGGCTGCCAGCCAGAGCCATGCCAGCTCCCCAGCTCTGCCACTCCTCTAACAGTACCAAATTACAGCTCCTCACTCAAGAGTTTGTCTGAACACCCTACTCACAGTCAGTGGGTCTAAAGACTTTGAGTACTCTTTGAGACAGTTAAATTTCACATTTGTCCCTGACTGGAGCATCTAATCAGTCATTGGGCAACTGATTGGATATAACAGAGAGAAAATTTCAGCTTAAAAGTACCAAATAGCAAAGACAGTGTGGTATTTAAATCAGATCTAGACCAGACACACAATACAGATTCTCTCTAGTGCTGAGACATACTTGAGCAATGTACAAAGAGCTGATATCCTTCATTTAATAGCTCTTATGGCAAGAGAGACCAGATTAGATAATAAAAAGTAATGTAGTGCATTGTATAATGTTTGATATTCAAATGCATCTGTACAGTTACATAGCTCTGTACTATCAGAAGACAAAATTTTAGACTTTCAGGTAAGCAATAGATCAATTTTTTTTCTTGACTAACCAGACACTTTCCAGAATTGTCCAAAGGTGATTTCATCTTTTATCTGTCATTTATTTCAAAGAAAATAGAAATGTACATGGACCTGTCCTGCAAGTGAACTGGTAAAACACAAGGTTGCTGCAAAGTCTTGTCTACTAACAGACTACTAATGGAGTCATCAGTGTCTGCATGGTATTCTGGGTTTTCCCTATAGATATTCTTTTTCCTCTTCTTCATTCCCTCCTGTTCATACTGCATACAATAAGTCACAAAGACAAGTTTCCCACCCTCTTCCACATTGTTACCTCTCCTTCTTTCCTTTTTTTTTTTTTTGTTCTACTCTTTACAGTACTTGAAATCCCACTCACAGCCCTCAAAAGTTTACCTGAAAAATTTACCACATTTTCTGACAGTGCAAATCATTGTTTTGCTCCATTTTGTTGTACATTAAAACTCTTATCACTTTGGTTTGGAAAGAAAATCTCTTATCTGTGTTTGAATGGTGGTTGGCACAATGGAGACCTTCAGATGGGACCTCACACAGCAGGGCACTGTAAACTTACATATGAACATACATGTAAACTTACACAGTTTTTTCTTAAACACTGAGAATACAACATATCTTCTGTATATACCTTGAAATATATATTATATATTTATATATGCATACCTATATAAAGTAATTAAATACTTCTTTTATATTAATATTATTGAAACACAAGTAATTTTTTTCCATGTAAAATACACTTGTCCTATACACTGTCATTACTTGACATTGAGCTTTTCAGAGTGCATTATATGGATTTTCCCCAGAATAGGAAGAAATAGAAAAAAACATGTAAGATTTTAAGTGCTTTAGACATCAAAGCAGAAAAACTCTCCATTTTCCTAGGCAGCACATTGAAGTATCCAATTTTAATTGAGAGAAACAGAAATGAGGAAAATTTCTACGGATGACGAGTAGGCTTGTAGGCTGAAAAGAAAGTAATCAAAACACAATAAAACATTTGCACTAAAGTAATAGAACATATAATTTTGTTCAGGAAAATGGCTTTGTTTCAAAATCAGATTGCATGTTTAAAGGTGAAAAAACCTCATGTTGAAATAGACAAACACTATCTGTGGCAAAATCAAAGGCATTTTGCAGAATTTCAGCAACCCTTCACAAACTTCAGTAAGGAATCCCCCCAAATGAAAGTACAGCTCATGCTGGTTCCTGAAAAGCTGAAAAGTAAGGAATTAGTGTATTAAGCAGGTTCCGGCAAACAGAAGATAAAAGCTTCAGTCCAACCTGAAAAGGATCTTTGCTGAAAAAAAAATAATTAGCAAATGTTCGGAGGAAAAAAGATAATTGACCATTTTCTTAATTCCACAGAATATTGTTGATGAGGCAACTTCAACAGGATCTTCAAATGATTGAACTGTAATACATAGGTATTATATTATGTACATTTAACTGACTAATTGAGAGAGAGAAAATAATGTAGTTCCTACCAGTTTGGCTGAGTTGTGACGTGCTACGGCTCTTTCTGGACAGCCCCACGATGGCGACCATCTTGGCACCAATGCTGGAGCGCCTCTTTTTGCTGCCACCACCAACAGTGCCCACCGCCGTGTCCGACTGGCTGCCATCGTTCTTCTCCAGCGTGTACATCTCCCCGCTGATGCTGGTGCTCTTTGTCATGTTCTTTCCTGAGATGGCCATCTGTCTGCTTTGCATTTTGGATGTAAAGACACTGTCAGCCAGTTGATGGATAAACAGTGCAGACAAAGAGTAAAAAGGGGAAGACAGAAAAGGACAGGTTTCAGATGGAAGGTTTTGGGAGACTAGAGGGTAAAAGCAGCTAATCACACAGATAAGGTTTGGTTTTAAGAGGTAAAAGGAGAAACTTTAATTCTAGGGTCTTGGTTGGTCCGCTGTAAACATACTTGACTCATTAAAATTGTGTTTTAAATAACAAGCTCTTATTAACTGATTGACTAAAAACTTATTACCAGCAAAAGCATACCAACGAATTAATGCATCCATATATCATATAATACTTCTTGCTTGGGAAATTTAAGTTCTGGCTCAGTGCTGTGTGCCTCCTCACATATATACACACAAATAACCTATATTCCTCTGGGAAACAGACACTTGATTCTTTACTGAGTGGAAAAGAGCCTCAATCTGAAGCCCAGTTTTGATTACTAGCCATCCAGACATTTCAAGGATGTTCTCATTAATCTGGTTTATCTCAGTTCATCATACAGTAATGAACACCCACAGGTTTTTCCTCCATCTCTGCATCAACAGATACAATACAAGTACTAGATATGCATTTCACACAACATTTGACTGTTATGTGGCACAGATCATCAGTACTGATAAAATGGAATTCAATTCTAATGCATCTTTTGTACTTGTTTAGAGGCTCTGTAAACCTGTTCTATGTGGCTGCATCTGAACTGTCTGATGCAGCATTTCAGGTGTCCCAGGGGAACCTGATCTACCAGCAGGCAAAGAGACCTTTCCTTTCCTCAGAAATGGCCGTCTACACTGATGACAACAGCACTCATCCAAATTTTGCCCTGATATCTAATTGCTAGGTATCTGAACATATATCCAGAACTGGAAGCTCTGGGAGACATGTGGGGCTGAAAATATCTAGAGAATTTTCTATATCAATGAAGATCTTGCACAGAACTTAGACCTTTATTATTCTTTTCAGTACAGTACTTCTCACCAAAAAGTCCCCATGAGATTCCATTTTAAACAATCCACAAAACTGTGAAATATTTCTGGAACCCAGGGGAAATTATTTTTTGTTAAATCACCAATATATAAACGCTAAAATGAATAATTTTTTCTTCTTAAACAGATTTTCAAATACATGCAAAAGCTGTTGCTAGAGCTTTAGTGCTCAGCAAATGTCTCTAGAACAAATTTTTCTGTGTATAGAAAAATATATATACTCCTTTTCCCTTACCTATAATGGCCTGAAATCAATTTAATAAAAGGAAGGAATTATTGTTTCTTTATGAAGTTTTTTTGCAATACTCTCTCAGTTTTTTCCAATATTCTGTCAGTAACTTGTCTATGGAATTAATGCAGTGCACTCAAAAGTAGATAAATACTTATAGCTTAGCCACAACCCAAAGGGAAAGCTAAGAGTTGGTTCACAGCAGAAGTAGACCTTTGCCATTGAAAAATGCTGAGTGTACTTCTCAGGGAAGGCACAAGGAAAAATATGAATAAGAGTTTGGGTCAGCAGATGGAGAAGCACAAAACAAAGCTGAGAGAGAGTCATAGTGGCCTTGCCTGGATACACAATCACAAAATACTGAACACAGTGGTAACCTGAAAGATTTTTTCTTACTCTCTTTTAGCTCTCTGTGTTGTTGTGTTAGTACACAGTGACTCTCATTTGTACATTTATCACCAAGGGACGAGTGGGATAGGATGTGGGTAAAGAGGAAGGCAGGGAAACAGTAAAAGAGAATTTGTATTTCTGTGTCTTATTAGCACCATGTTAACTTGTTTATTAGATGATAGCTTCACATGCTGTATTTTTAATCAAACTAACACCTCTAAGAATTCAGTCAAAGAAAATAGATGACACTGAAACCATTTCTCAGTTTCAACATTATCTTGCATGTAAAAATACTAGAGGTCTAGGAAAAACATGGCTGTGAAGAGCTAGTATCTTCAAATTTATCTTAAGCAAAATTTAACTAAGAATCAGAACATTAGAACCCCTTATCCAATAATGCTGTTTATAATCCAAATTCTCAAAGGAAATATGATTAATGTGTGCTTTCAGTCAGGTCTCTCTCTTTTCAGTATTTTTTAAAATCAGATAAATTTGACAGAGCAGTAGGAAACTAAACTATTTAGTTTCTAAAACTGTTTTGAAAACAGATCCCTGGAGAGAGATCTTATGCATGTCTCTTCAGGGAAAGATGGCAGAAGAAGTCATAGAATCTCTCTTAGTGGAAGCTAATTCACACATTCAGGCTGGTGGAAGAAGTAAGTTTTTCACTGCTTGCAGAACAACCTATTTCAGTGATCCATTTTTTCAAAAATAATACCCAGAAAATCAGTGAGTTCCTATCATATAGCAAACAGTAATCAATGCATTGTTTTGTAAGTGTTACTACCATTCAATAAAAGCCCTATGTCATCAGTGGAAACAGAAATATTCTGAATTTTAGTATAAAAGTTACACTGAAAAGAAAGTCACCATTTCCTGTGTTGAATGTGTCTTTGAGGTGCTTTTTTGTGTCCTTTCCAAGATTTATAGTTCTATTTAAGTGGAATGGATTACAGTAGTTGCCCTTATTAAAGAAATCTGTGTCTTTAAAGAGGCTGGTTGCTATAGTTTCACTGTGCACTTATCTATGAAATTGTTTTGAATTACTAAATTTTGCTTCTTGGCTTGTGTACTACAAAACGTTTTGCTGTGTACTGCTGCCAGTAATGATGTAGGCTTCAGTCAGACACCTTCTCTTGGCCAACTTTTTAAGAAAGGTAGGAAAGGGAATTCAAATGAGAAGAAAGGAAGGGATTTAGATTTAAGTGGATATACCAAACACTAGTACAAATGGCTGATACGAAAAATTCATTCACAAGCCTCTATTTTTTTTTCCCAGTTGAACTCTAAAACTATTTTCTTCAATTAAACGCTTGGGGGTTTTCCCCTTCTCTAAAAGCAGCAGGGAATACATCTTTGCTACAGTCCTAACCAGCAAACAGCCCTTGGGGAAAACCATCCCATAGCAGGGACTTTGGTTTTTTGCAATTCCTCTCTTAGCAAAAAAACTTTGAGAAATACATACTAGGAGAGTTATGAGTGGTTTATAGTGCCTCAAAATAAACCTAAAGTGGTCATGAGCACTTCCTCCATCAGCACTTTGAATCCTTTCTGGCCATCCAAACCCTCATTTACTAATTTTTCTTGGCAGATACTTGATACCCTCTCCAGCAGAAACCATGCTTCTACCCAGCCCACCTTTTGACAGTGCCACAGATGGATCATTCTCAGAAAAACTGGGTATTGTATGTCAGATTTGGTTTCTTTCTGAACTAATAGAAATGTTGACCTCAGAGTATAATTTAGAGAGTAAATCATACAGTCTTTTTCCTTAACAGGAAACAGAAATTACTGGAAGTTTTCTTTGTATTACATATACACAAATCTAATCTCACAGACTTCCAGCTAAATACATGCAAGAGTATTTTAAAATAGATATTATATAAAAGTAATTTATGAAATTGTATGAGGTAATGAATAGATATGAAGTAAATATAGGGTTCTCAAGGTGTCTAATAAGATAATAATAATTTTAAAAATATCCTCAGCAAAGAAAATATGCAGCCAGATGCTGAGGGGAAGAACAAAATAAAGGGGGAAATAAAGCAATTATCCTAGTCCAAATAATATGTGCATAATGACATAATAATACTATTATTAGAATGAAAACAAGAACAAAATCAGCACACAACCCCAGCTATGTGGCAGCCCACAGCCTAGAGCAAGAGCAGAGTGAAGGTGGCAGCCAGGCCACTGCCTTTGGCTTAACAGGACCAAACAATCAACAAGAGCAGGATGAAGGACAAAGCTCACACAAGAGTGTTGCTTCACGCACTATCCCAAAATCCAGGAGAACTCTTGAATAAACCAAGAGCTGCAGACAGGTCTTAGTGTAAATATCTTTTCAGACACTTCAGTTTTCCAGTGAAAAAAGCAAAAGGAAAGATGCATACACTTTAGAGGAATATATTCTCAAAGATAAGGAAGAAAGTCCTTTAAAATATCACAAGAGAAAAATAAGACATTAGAAAAGAAATTACAATAGGATATCTATATAGATTTGTAATTTAAAGCCAATGGTGGAGTAAGAGAGCCCTAGCCACTATACAGTATTCTTAAAAATATACTATGCTAGCCAGCTGAGGAGAGACTGACAGAGACCTGTGACGTCAAAGGTATTCCAAAGTTTGCTGATGATACTAGATTAAGAGAAGCTCCTGATTCCCTTGAACACAGAAAGGCTCAGCAGAGAGACTTTGACAAATTAGAGGTCTGGGAAATCACTAACCATATGAAGTTTAACAAAGACAAGTGCTGGATTCTGCACCTGGGATGGGGATTGTACATACAGACTGGGAAACAAAGAGTCTGAAGACCGGCACCACCAAAAGGGACCTGGGGGTCACTGGCAAGCTGACCATGAGCCAGCAGTGCCCTGGCAGCCAGGAGGGCCAAGAGTGTCCTGGGGGGCACCAGGCACAGCATCACCAGCCAGGCAAGGGAGGGATTGTCCTGCTCTGCTCTGCTCTGCTCTGGGCAGTCTCACCTCGAGTGCTGGAGGTAAATTTGGGCACCACAATGTAAGAAAGATATAAAAGCATCAGAGGGCACCCAAATGACAATGAATAGTGAAGGGTCTTGAGGAGAAGCCATATGAGAAGCAGATCAGGTTACTTGGTGCGTTCACTCCGGAGGAGACTGGGGGGAGACCAGTCTTTACAGCAGTATCAGAAATCACAATTTGTAATCTCATTGCTCTGCCATAAACACATGTATCAGAGAATCAGATTTACACAAGTCATTTGGCAGACCTTGCAGGTTTCTTTATTTCTTTATTTCAAAGTCAAAGCAAAATTAATATTATTGCTTTCCAGCTTAGTTCTCTGTTAATGATCCCAAATGAAAATAAGGCATCCATTATAGTGAAAATTCAGGTTGCCAAG